ACACATTCACACATGTGTGTGCGTGCACATACACACACACACACACGTACACACACACACAGATGAAACAAATGAAAGCTGTCCTGTTTCTTCTGCCCAGCCTCTGCCAACTTAATTTGCAAATGAAAAGTTTTGCGAGGAGCGTCCTTTTGCTTCTGGGGCATGGCAGCACACTGTGTGTTTGGGGGGTGGGGGATGAGGAGAGAAGAAGGTTTGACAGAGGGTGTGTGTATGTGTGTGGCAGGAGCCCAGATGAAGCAGCCCTCGCCCGGGGCTCGCTGTCCGCCCGCGGTAGCAGCAAGCCTGTTCCTTCTACCCCGGCCCGCCGCGACCATTTGTTCCATTAACCAATCTCCTGGAGCCTCTGGTGCAAACACACACACACACACACATCCACACACATCCACAGGCATACATACTTCAACAACTGCTTGCACAGCTCATACCCCACATGGCCCTCCATCCCTCCTCCATCCTTCCCTCCCTCCTCTGCTCTCCTCCAGACGCACGCACCATCTTTCTTCGTGGAGGCCATATGGCCCAGTGAAGCCTGTGGATCTACAGGCACATCTGCGTATATGTTGCTGCTCTCCTTAAAGGGCTGCACAGTGAGCTGTGCGCTCACATAAACATATAGTACATGCACACGCACACACAGGGCTGACAAACACACTCTCTGCTGTCACTATGTGTGGTTAAGCAAACGTTGGTGTTATGTTGGTCTGTTTTACGTGTGTGTGTGTGTGTGTGTGACAGAGAGAGAGAGTATGTGTAAGTGACCTCGGTGTACATGCATAGTGATAATTGGTGAAACAGCCTGCGAACAGCTGTGAGGTGAGAAAAGGTTTGCGTGGTGTTTGGTACAGAATGCAGAGGGGAGGAGGAGAAAGAGAGGAGAGGAGTTAAGTTGGAAAATGAGAGAAGGGCAAAGAGGAAAGTGAAAAGAGATAAGAAGAAGATGGGTTAATAAGGGAGGAGAGGGGGCAGGCGAGAGGACAGTTGAGAGACAGTGGATTCAAATCTTAAGTATGAACAGAAAATAAACAGCAAAGAAGTCACAGAAAACTTTTCTTTCTCTCTCTCTCTCTCTCTCTCTCTCTCCCCAACATCATTCAGGAAAAAAAAGATTTTTATACACACGGATTGAACTTGAACAGTTTTTATTTCTTGTTATATAGATATAAATTCTGTTTTATACACAAAAGGTGAAATTATTCTTGATTTTCTTTTTTTTTTTAAGGTGAACCCCAAGAAAATAAATTAAAAAATAAATAAACACAGCACGCTGTAGTGCAGTGTCGCAGACAGTCGTCTTTAGTCTGACTGTGTCTCGCTCTGGTGTTTTATTGAATCACAAGAACCGTGCTGCAATACAGATATTTAAGATATCATTTTTAAATTATTATTATTTCAGAGATTGCTTGGACTCACTAAAAACTTCACACAAGGAGAAAATATTTAAAGAGCGGTAATATCCTTCACAAGCTTCAACATATGATTGGATTGTTTCTTCTCACTGGTTCTCACTAACATCTTACATGTTTCTCTTTTGACTGATTTGCACTAAGCTTTCTGCTCGTGTCAGGATTTTATCGAGATGTTAAATTACTTAAACCAATGACATAATGACCGGTCACATTTGAAAATAACAGAACAGATTCTGTTAGTTGTGCATATAAGATATCTGTATTCAGAATTAAATAAATTGTAAAAACAAGTCTCATCAATCTCCTATATTTTGTAATTTCTGCATATGTAATATATTTGTTTGTTTATACGATACGACGAGTTTCCTCACAAACATAACCTTCCCTCACTGACAAACTAGCTCTCATCATTTTTAACTTCTACTAAGTTAAGAGAGACTTTGCTTGTTTTTACTCAGAATAAGCACCAGAAAAGTGCGAAATAACTAAATAAAATGTCACCAATCAAATAAAGATTCTGGAAAATAAAGAGTTAAAATAAAATCTACATATGCAAACATTTCCAATTGTGCTCACTCGTGTAAAATATACATTTAACTTAAGAAACTAAAATGTAATGTATTATTCCTGAATCAGATTGGTCATAAAAACACGTTTAACCTTTAAATTACCATTTATAGTAACTGGCTTTGCTCTTCCCTAACTCGGTGCTCTTCTCCATCTCTCCACTCTCCCAGTCCATCTTTTCATTTCCAGGCAAAAAAAAACAAAAAGCAACAACACAGACATAGTGAAATAAATAATTAAGTGGTGAAGCAAAACATTGTGTGCTAAAACCCCTGTGTAGTTTGGCAATCAGCTTGCCCATGTAAAAATAAATCAAGCTGATTTTCCAAATGTTTTGTGCGTGGTGCGCTGTTGCCGCTCTTCGCAGCACAGATTGCAGGCCGATGGAGAGGCTGTGGGGAGGGGCGGGGCGCTGGATATTGAACCCACTTGCACCAGCTTGTTAACACGTACACCTTAACCCTCGAGCAGCGCGACAGGGTGCCCACCGAGTGCTCAGGGCCCTAAGGAACCAACGTATATATACCGAATGTATAGACACACAGACACACACACACACAGACACACTGAGGATTACAAGAACATGCATGCAGTTCAGTACGTGAACAGTGCCATATGACGTACTCTCGCTTGTACACAAATATACAGACATAAATATAACTGCGTGCACACACACAGAACAGAGATCCATAAAGTTCAGTCCGGCATCTACAGCTTAATTCTGACATAAAAAACACAAAATCTGGATCTTTTTTTGTTGCTGTTTAAGCTAAAACCAATATAAGAACGTATCTGTGGCAGGTTTTCAAGTTTTCTAGTTTTGCCCCCGGAGTACAATCAGTACCAGAAACACAACCACATACTGAAAAACCAAGTACCAGCTGGAATGTGGATCACTGTAAACGTGAGTCATATCTCTCTTGCCTCCCAGTCTCTCCCTTATCCCTATACGGCGCCTCTTTACAATAAAGCACCTAAAACTTAACACATAAATGCCAAAAATACTTAAATGTAATGCTCAAAAAACGAATAAATGCATTTCCAAACATGCACACGTCCTACCACAACAGTTATCTCCAAACATGAAACACAAAATGTGGTCAAGCGGCTTGACAGCAACTCCAAAAGTGACCTCATGTAGAACTGAACTCAAGAGATATTTAAATATCAGGAGGATTCATCAACCCAGTAAGTGTCAAAGCAGAAAATAAAACTCACTAAATGCCAAGAGTGATTATCGTGGTTCAGTTGGGAGAAGAGAGAAGTTAGGTGCCAACTTCCCAGCCAATCCACTTTTGGCAGCCAGATTCCTACTCTGCTAAACCTCCTGAGAACATGTAATACACACACACATACACACATAAAAATACCACTATAACATATGCGCGGAAACATACAGAATATTCATACTTCACACTCCTTGACAACTTGGATTGTTTTTCCTTCTATGAAACACACAAAAAGAGTCACACACAACCAGGAGACAGCTGTGACTTGGTAAACTTTGTTTTTTGGCAGCGTCTGACTGTCGGCAGGTTAACACCGGTGGGTGGTAGACAATATGTAGTGTCAGTGATGGAGCAGGAGAAAAGGGTGAGTGTGGTGTGTGTGTGTGTGTGTGTGTGTGTGTTTGGTTTTGTGTAATAGAAAGGTGTAGTTGGGGGTGGGGTGGCGACTGGGGTAGAGATCCTGCAGAGTGGGGCAACAACACCCACACACCCTCGCCCACATTGGCAGAGCCAGGCTGTATGCCAGGCGCCCTGTGGAGACACACACCAACTGGGCTCCACACTTAGGGATACATCATACACACACGCACACACACACGCTACAGATACTGTAGTATAAGCCGAAGATGGACTCACTTTTAGCTGCAACTTTTAGAAGTCAGTGTTTCCGGAATCGCTACCTATATGCTACGCAGAGCAGTTTCACAAACGTGTAAAATTGTGCATTATACTATATAATGCTCTGAAAAATGTCTTCAGTGGAATGATAAATGTTGTACCTATAACATAAGCACTGCTTTATGGTTGCAACTAATGATTTTTTGCAATATCGATCAGTTGATTCATTTCTTGACTAGTCGATGAAGGTCAATAAAATGTGAAGAAATTGTACAAAAACCAAGCCAAAGTTGACATCATTCAGATTGCTTGTTTTATCCAACCAACAGTCCAAACCCCAAAGATATTCAGTTTAATGTCATAGAAGACTAAGAAAGCAAATATTCAAGATACCCTCAGCTGTGCTAGAAAGGCTTTATAGGGTTGACTTCCCCATCAGGTATTATTTTGGTTAGTCGACACCAAACCAGTCACAGTTTATCATAAATGATCTGCTTTTTATCTTCATTTTGTATTCATGATTTGTTCTGAATCAACAGAGCAATTAATGATCAGTCTGATATATAAGCACTAAGTTTAAAACCTAACCCTAATTCTGTGTTTCACCTAGTGCACGTAATATCTGTTTGGCTGTTAAATATTCACACGTGATACAGTTACAGTCCGTGGATCATCACAAGTAATGTCATGGGAGTCTATCACTAGTTTATTCTTTCTGTTACTTTATAGAAATAAATTGTGTTTTTTGATCAGAGAACAGTTTGTAGCCTGATGAAGCAGATAATGTTGCCACTGCACAGACAGCAGGAGAGTAAAGTGATGATGACAAAAACTACTGTGTCAACAAAAAATAAAACAATTCTTACATTAGATGAGCAGAAGATGGACTGGTTAAGGACAAATTGTGAAGAAAACTGCACTTATTTTTGTCTTTTGTAAGGCCTGCAGCCAGATTCTGCAAACTGAAACAAACATCAACAGCAGCAACAAGGCTGCCGTTATTTTAATAACAGAAAAATGTTTTGATCTTGATATTGAGTTATGCATTAAAATACACACCTTGATAGACAATCATAAGATACATGTGCCAGTTTTTCATTCAAATAAGTGCAGTGGTTACTGGGGGGGAGTAAAAATGTTCATGTGTGTATTTACATACCTGTCCTTCATGCGCTGGTGCATGCGGCCATGCTGGACACACTGTTCCTCCATGTCGGAGCAGCGAGCTCTCAGACTCTTTACTGTCTCTTCTAGATGTTGCTTCTCCAGGGCCAGCTGCTCCATCTCACTTCTGCACACACACACACACACAATACAGATGTGAAAAATGCACCTTAACAGTGTACCATGTGCGACGCAGCAATGCAAGTAAGATAAAATACTATTGTTTGTAGAACACATCACAAAATGCTTCACAAAGTAAGATGATAGAAAGTAATAAAATACAGAATGAAATAAGTTAGAGAAATAAATCAATAAATGAAATAATTAAATTAAACTGAGCAAAGGCAAGTCTAAACAGGTAGGTCTTGAGCTGCTTTTTGAAGTCCACAGTCTACACAGATTTTAAGTCCAAAGATTTGGGGATTTCAAATCGGTAATAACTAATTATCTGAACACTCAACTCTTTTCTCTTTTTATTAGGTGCATCAAACTAAAACTAATGCAGATTTCAATTGTCATAACTGCAATAAATCCTACCTTCATGAGGTTATAATGTTCAGTATTTGGTGAAACTGTTTTAGAGAGGTGTTGATTCAACTGTGTGATTATTTTGGGGGATGTCGTTTTTGGTGCAGTTTAACTGTACTGCGTTTTATTAACAGGTGTTTCTATCATTCATTTATATCAGTGACGGTTCAACAGCACCACAACCTACACCCACCAAAATAATCAGTTCAATCAACTGTTCTAAAAAACATTCATGAATGCAAAATTTATTTCAGGACTGTTTTTATTGGTATAAGTTACTATTAATTCTGAGAGTAAAAAGGTTTAATTTAATAACTGACGTCATACAGTATACTGTAGACCATTTACTCTGCTATTAATGCTTCTCAATTTGTATTTGCTATTTATTTGACAATAGGATTACAGAAGGAAATACAGGGAGAGAAAGAGGGGTATGATATGCAACAGAGGTCACTGGTTGCCGTTACGTGGTGAGCGTCGCTCTGAACCACATAGTCAGCGACACAACATTACACTGACCAATCAGTAGGAGTGAGCCTCGTACGGCCCGCAGTCAGACGAACAACTGAAAACAATTCATCAAGAGTTTTATTTTTCATCTTGCTGCAACTGTCTCAGTGTAACCTCACTTAGCCTGACTGAGGCTGTCCAGCAGGACTTTAACCGCTACACTGGGCTTGGACTCCAGGAGCTCAAACAGCCCGAGGCACAAAACACACCCACACCACACTGTTGCTAAACTACATAACACACACATACAGCAGATGTAGGGTATGAACCTTTATGACAGTGTGTCAGCATGTGTGTGAAATCCCCCCCCCATAAAAAGACATTCAAGGTGGTAGTTATTACAGTGTGGATATACGTGTATTCAGTATTGATGTACATGCATAAGACACAGGGTACTTTGGTGTGTGTGTATTATGTGCATGTGTCCTGTGGCTGGTGAGGCCAGTGCGGTCTGGAAGGGCCAGATTGGGGGCTGTCATGTGACTAATGTGCAGCACAGCTCCAACAGCTGACAGGACACTGGGTCCAGGGTCACTCTCACACACATACACTCACGAACACACACTGAAGTGCAAAAACACACACAGAAACACACACACAGGCAGCCCAGATGGAGAGCTGTGCAGGCCTGCTGTGACTACTGTAGCATCAGGTTAACAAGAAAACAGGTCAGACTGGGAAGCAGTATGTAGTATGTTGACATGCTCTGTCCTAACAGCCTGGATAGATGATATTTCATGAAATGATGACATGGATTTCCAACAGATAGAATCAATAAACAGCTGAACAAGTAAATTGCTGGAAAAGAGAAGCTGTGTATAACCACGAAAATAAATTTTACCTCTCCACGTGAACATTTTTTCATGGAGAAAAGAGATAAATGAATAAGTCAGAATGTAAGCCAAAGAGTTACAGTTACAAAGAACAAAAGCATAATCAAGTGAATAAATGGTCAAACAAAGAGGAAATGTGATGAAAGAATTAAAAAGAACAGACTGACCTGCTGTTTTCTGTCAGCTCTTCCAGTTTGACTCCCAGCACGCAACATTCGTCCTTTAGCTTCCTGATCAGGGAATTCTGGGAACTCAGCAGACCATCCAACTCTCCAACTGCAAACGATCATGGGAAAGTTGTTGTTTAGTGACCCTGAGAACTCAACACACCGCAAGAAAACACAACCAAATACAGAAACGTAGCACAGACAACAACAGAAATGGTTTCCAGAGTTGTGTTTTCGGCTGGCGGTTGAATCAGATTTTGTGAAACCATTATTCATCATCAAGCAATGTCTGCTTTCAACACTGTGTGGTCATCAGCAACTGCTGAAAGCATCTGCGTCATATCAGAGCAAGGCATTGCATATTTGTGTATCTAATATATATCTCTCTCTATATATAGACTATCTATCCTTAAACCTAAACAGACAATTTCTAAGCTTACTGTACAAATCTTAAACAGAAACTTGTTCTAAAACTGTGGTGGCAGTTTTTTGCTGTACCTGCTTCTTATCAGCACTGAACAAACTCGAGTACACATGCATGCACATACAAGAATGTCATTAAGACGACACTGTAAAAATATTTAAAATTACATTTATGAATACAGTTTTTACAAAGGAACAAGAAATCCAAGTCAGTTAAAACAAGTCAGTGATATTGTAAAGCAGTGGGACAGACAATATTGGTGGCTGATTGTTCGCACCAGAAGAGTTCCTTTGTCACAATGGGAATATTAAAACTGTGAAAAGGATTTGAGTGATCCTTTGTACCTTTATACCTTCTTTATACCCATCTCTAAATTTCAGTGGAGAATATAGAAAGTGTCTGAAGAAACCCTCAAATAAAAATCAAACTTAAAATTTGCAACAAAATCAACAAAGTTACAATTTAGGAGAAGAAACCAATTTCAATTTTCTGCAATTTCATGCTACAGTGGTTCAATGGACTACTGAATATACTGTATTAGTAGTAATAAATAATGCTTAAGAGCATCTAGGGTACTTCTATTAACATGTGCAATATGTCCGAGAGCAGGCCAACCAAACGGCCTCACATACCAGAAGAAAACATCTACATTATGGACTGAGCTAAACAATGAAATCGATCGTACAGAATACTGCAGCACCAGCGAGATACACGTCTCTTTGAATGTATTCCCAAAAATGCTTTTGTCGACATACACAAAATTCACAAATCAAAACTGTTCAAACAACAGGCGGAGATGTACAGAGCAAAAGCAGAAGTACAGAGAATAGAGAAGGGAAATATAAAGTGTGCGAGAAGGGTAAAACGAGATGGAGAAAGAGAGAGGATTGTTGTTTGAAAGCGCTTTTCTTTCTCCTTTCCACCCTTCCTGCCACGTCCTCATCCGCTCATGGGGGCCTCTTTCTGAACAATCCAACACTGGGCTTTCATCATTCCTTTGAAATGATCCACGTTCCGCTCTCCAACATATGTCTGCTCTTTTAAAATAACAATGGCTGCCGTTTGGATGGAGGGAATGATCCACCTGCTCCGGCATTCTGTTACAGTCAACCGAAACCAAAAACACCAAGGACTTGCAGTCTTTGAAAAGTAGCTCAGACTTGTGAAGAGTTTCTTTTTCTTTTTGTTGCATACAGTAGATACTGGGGGGAAAGAAAGAGATAGAAAAAAAGAGAAGAGGAAGAGCCATGATGGTAGATCTCTGTGCTATGATACATACCTTCTACCTGCAGGCTGAAATTCCACTCTACACTTTTTTCTGTTTCTCACTTCTTCTCTCTTTATGTGCTACAGAAATGCTAGTATGCTAATATAAAAAGCAGGAAACTATGGCTGGGAGAGGTGTAAAGGCCATTGTCCACTGATTTTTCCATCCATAGCTTTGAATGTAATATTACTCACTTTTTTACTAGCTTCACATTGTGTCTCTAAGTGAGTTACCACTAACCTTTTTTCATTCCCCTTCATACAGCCTCTGTCCCCATATTACTGCCATAGATAATGCATGGAGGGCAGAAATTGAATGCTACAGAGCATGAAAATAAACTACACAAACTCACAGACGTGCACACACACGTACACTGAACAAAGTTTGGTCAGTGCTGGAAAAGTTGCATGAAGAATGCTAATTAGCTGAACAGGCTTTGAATGCGTCTGGCCATGCGTAGGCCAAAAAGAACCCTGGGACACAGAAACACAGCAGAACTGGCACTGGAAACAAACAGAGAAAAAATGAGGGAGGGAGGGATGGAGAGAAGAAGCGTGGCAGGGAGGGAGGGACGGAGAGAAACAAATATCTGATATCATCTAGAGGCTGCTCTGTACGCATTTACTCAAAAAAGAAACATGAAAAAAAAATCTGAAAAAAGGTGGGAGGGAGCGGAGAAAAAGGGAGAGGGGGACGGATGGATGGAAGGACAAACGGATGGACAGAGAGGCGGGATTTGGAGAGCAAGAAAGCTAATTATCCAGCTCGTCTGTTGGGTTGCACGGGGAGAGGAAGTGATGCGAGCTACTAAAGGACGTCCACCCCTCCATCCCCTCCCCATCCACAGTTTCCTGCTGTGCTCTGATGTCAGCTCTCTTTAGACAACATGTGTGCTGCCGACACGCGCCAGAAACAAACCCTTTGTTTACCCCCCCCTTCCCTCCCTCCATCCATTCCTCCCTCTATACCCTCCATCTTTGTTCTGCGTACCAGCAGGCTCCCTGGTTGCTGAAGGGAACCACAGGTAAATAAAAAGATAGGAGAAGGGAGGGAGGGAGGGAGAGGGGTGGCTGAGGGTGGGTGGTGGGTGAGAGGGGGGAATCCAGATGGTGCAACAGATGTGCTAGCAGCAGCAGCTCTGCTGTGCAGACAGACAGGGAGCTCTGAGTTGGGTCTCTATGCTCTGCTCCCATCACCTTCCCTCTGCTCTGCCCTGCTATTCTGTCTTCTCCTCTCATGGCTTCTGTTTTTTTTTTGTTTTTTTTTTTGCTCTGTTCTGCTCTTTTGAGGTCACTTCAGCTCAGTCTTGTTCAGCTCAAATGATTTGTGTTCCTGTCCATCCCCTCCCACTCTGACCATGTTGTGTTGGTGGGGAGCACGGTGCCACAGTAAGCAGGAAAACCATCCTTCAACTGGAAGATGCAGGTTCAAGACCCTGTTCCAGCAAAGATCCACCCTGCTGAGGTGTCCTTGAGGAAGAGACTGAAACCCTCCCAGCTCCAGCTGTGATTCTGTAGCTGACCCTGATCAACTCTGCTGTTTTGTTCCTTACAGTTCTGGATACTCTGACTCTGTGTGCTCCATCCTATTTAGTTTTGCTTTGTCCTGTTCTGGTCTCTGCCCTCTCCCACTCCTCTTCGTGTAAGACAACTAATATGCCACAGCAGTCTACAGTACAGTACTAGTATTGTCAATAATAACATAATAACATATTTATATCATGTTAATAATACATACATGATAATATTTTCTAAATAAACCAGCGCATCTTAAATCATTTCTGTTTCTTTAAGTTCTTGCTTTGTCGTTCTCTCTCAGTGTCAGTTTTTTCAATTGTTATATATAAAACGCTTTTGTACAGTTATCACCTCCCTATACTTACACTGTTTTGAGTGTAATTTATTTGCCAAAAAAGAGACAACCACATAATAAAAGTTAAAGATGAATTTGATTTAGAGCATTTTTCAAATTTTCTATAAATATTGCACCAATATCATTAATTATATTAATCATGCATTGAAAAGCTGATATTGTGACAGCCCTAGTAGAGATGTTCTTAAGTATATGGAGCTCTCCACTGAAAACCCTTTAATTCGGCCCTTTGGGAAGTCCGACACCCGCGGTCCACCTGATGTGGCTCCATCGCACCTGACAGCTAGCAGGCCAATGGCCACCAGACGAAAGACTGGAGGGTAAAATTTCTTTTGTGCATGTATCTAAATGCTGATATCTACTGTCAATTGATAGGAATATAATATTTCATGATGTATTTAAATAAATATTGGTGGTTTTGTCTTTTATGTCTCTTCTTCTCCAAAGTCTGAATAGCAGGAGACAGAATGCTAACATTTTCCTTCCATTTTCCAAGAGTTAGAAAGAAAGTGGAGATAAGACACTGTGGTACGTACGGTAATTAAAACAAGTTAATTACAGGCACAAAGTTTCTGCTATCACATTGATCATAAATGAGTTGCAAATGTGTGTTCAATATGCTTGTAAAACACAAAATGCTGGCAAAACAACTCCAAACAAAATGTGGCTGCTGAGGGACAGACTGCTTGAAGATGATCTGCCTCTGAAACGCTTCCAGTGAACATTTGAACTGCGACAGAGATGTGAGGGAGCTGCGCTGCAACTGAAACACGGTGCAGCTGCATCCAGTGGACATCCAGGTTGAGGTTCTACTGCACAAGACTCTAAATTAAAAGGCACTCCCTTGATAAGCAAAATATAGAGCGGAAAGGAAACTCATATCCTAGAGAATACTTAACTATCTTTAAAACAGGTACAGGTTTCAAAGAGGTGGGAAGGAGACAGCGAGCTATGACACATGACAGTATTTTTGAGCCAGACCACTGCTGGAAGCACTGACCTCTCTGCTGGTGTTGAGCCTCTGTTTGCTCCAGCAACACAGCCAGCTCTCTCTCCCTCTCCCGTGCTGAGAGGGTCACAGACGCCATTTCCTCCTCATGAGCCCGTTCTGCACCATCTCTGTCCTGTCTGGGGAAAACAACTGGGATGTTAGATCATTCTTTTAATAATAATTGCACATTTTCTATTAAAAATGGAATTTTATATAAAAATACACTTAGTGACTTATTGCTCATGTTGTGCTACTGCTGGAGCATAAAAAACATTTCCACATACTGTAGGCTACAACGTCTGTCTTGCACATATAATTACTTTTTGTAAAATTGAGAGGTATAATATAATAATAATACAGGTTTTACTCATGTTTACAAACAATATTTGCATAAGCAATTTACTCATTTGGATTAACTGTTTACAGAGACAACAATCAACTTTAATGTGACATCAAGTTGCCAAATGCCCCTGATCATACTCATTAGTGTCAATTTCCACTTGAGTGAAACAAATGTAGTTTGTAGACCAGTGATCAGTCTAGAATATAACAGCTATGATCAGCAGATGATTCATCAGTAGATTCCTAATAAATTCCATCATACTTGACAACTGTTTCTGATGTGGAAAAGAAAGACTGAACACAGAGGTGAGAGCGAAAGCAGGAAGAGAGAACACAGCGTACGACAAGAGACTGAAAGAAAGGACAAAAAGGAGAATGACACAAAAGACTCGGGGGGTAGACTGGTAAAAGCGTCAGGCCACTGTCAGTTTGAAGACCCCTGAGTGATACTGCAGCTGTCTACAGAACACACACACAAACGCACACGCACACACACACAGGTCAATACAGACAAGTGCATCATAAAAGCTTTATCCACTGATTAGATTAAAAGTCCAGGATGAAGTTCTGAGACTCAAGAAACGTTTAAAAAAAAAAGATGTGTTCTGTGATATTACTTTGCTTAAGCTGCTTGTCATCTAATATAATTCAGTTTCCAGCCACACTGAGCACTAAAAAAAAAAAACATATAACACTACAGCAACATAACATCAGTTGATCAATCATATCTTATTTTTTAGATATTAGATATTTTAGAAGACTGTTCTTATGCAAGGGTCATTTTTGAATAACTGTATGACTTCGTAGTGCACACTGTGCTTGGCGAGTCAGGAATGCAGACAAGCACGATATTTTTGGTAGCAATCAAATCTCTTTAATCTCCACTTTAATTTGTCTCGATATCAAAATTGTGCAGGTAAGATGCAAACTAAGGTGCTTAACACTGAAGGCTTTGAACAACACTGCATTTTACTCGTGTTTGAGCCAAACTTTCTAACTCAGCTAAGTCCAAATGTACCCAAACAACAGAGGAACAGACAACGAAGGAAAGAAAAGAAAAACTACAAAGACAGGAAAAAACGAACAAATAAACAGAACTCTTCCTGAAGTCCAAAGGCGCTAATGAAGAGAGAATTCTCCAGTTTAAGTGAAAACTTTTCTCCCCTACAGCGCTTGGCCTGCATCTCTAAAGTGACCGCGTCTGTCTGTTCCTTCGTGTGTGTGTGTGTTCTCCTGCTGTCCTGCTGTCTGGGGTGTGAAAGCGGGTGGCGGGTGTGCAGGGGACACAAGGAGATTGTGTGTGTCTGTATGTGTATGAGTGTGTGTGTGTGTATGTGTGAGTGAATGAACCCCCGCTGGGCTTGAACAGCAGCCTGAGCCACCAAAGCGCACACCAGGGCTCAGCGGGAGATGGCGGGCAGGCGTTGCCAGCCATTTGGTCCTGCAAGAGGTTCCAGGGGGCCGTGTGTATTTGTGTATGTCTATGTGTGTGTGTTTGTGTGCGATTGGGGGGTGGGTGGGGGGGAGAGGCTCACACCAGACCTGTTTACCCACCAATTAGCATCAGACAGACCGCCAAAAAGTTCCAGCAGTCAGCAATAGAGTGGTGGTGAGGAAGAGGAGAGTGATGAAAAACAGAAGAAGATAGAAAAGCAAAAACACAGAGTTACACATTTGGCATCTGTTTGGTTTTTATAAGTACAAGTTGTACACAACAGAACAGAGTCGGGGTCTTCATTTCTGGGTGGGAATGGGGCAACCTTGAGGAGGGTTGCTGATTCTAAGTTTCGGTTCAGTAAGTGGGGCCTGAGGATTCAAATCCCTCTGACGAAGGCCTGAAAGCCTCATCCAGGATCAAATTAAAGCTGGGAAGCCAGGCTAAGTTATGTGGTTCTTTCCCCTACGCCATTTTGTCATCAAACGCAACATGTTTACTTGCAAAACGCTGTCACAAAATGGCTGCTGATGAGCATTGTCAAATTAAAGCATAAAAACGAGAAAGCAAAGGAGAGATATCAGTGGAGAGCCAAGCCCTGGAGCAAGTGTTAAGGGCGACGGGTAGAGCAGAGGCTGAATATGTGGGGCTGGAGCTGGATAATTCTCCCTGGACAATAATCTGCCTTCCAGCTAATTGGTGAATGAGCTCTGGGTTGCTGCCTGTGGCAGGAACTCTTGTTTGGGCCTAGGAGGCAATAGACTGAGTGTTCAGTTAGCGGATAGCTGGGCCTGTTTGTATATGCCTGGCCTGATGCACTGTAGGACAGCTTGATAAGTATGGCGAGAGCTGCATGGGCCAGGGGCCTAAGGTAGACTGGAATGGCTCTGGGGCTGCGGCCAGGTACAGTGGCTGCTGGGTAAGTGGGAGGTGGCAGAGGCGGTGGCTGGCTGGCTAGCTGGCTGGAGCAGCGAGGAAGAAGAGGGGGCCCAGTCTGCACTGCCTGCCTAAGTGGGCACTATTCAAGCTGTTGCCCATTAGATGTGGGGTGCCAGGGCCTGACCAAGCACAGAGTTTGCAGCACCCCATGGTGCAGCCGGCATCCCACGCCAGAACCACCAAATGCCGCGGTTTATCAGAGAACGAGCACAAATTGGAGTCAGACGGTGGACTTGGAGGAATTGGAGACATTCGCCAATGCCAGGCACCACTGACCGCTGTTTGGACTAAAGTAAAAGAGACTATAGTCTCTCAATAAACACAATATCACCAAGATACACAGACTGAATTCATACAGTATATATAAAACACACACACACACGGAACAATCCAGCTGTACATGCAAAATACACAAAATATGTGACTATATTTTGTTGTAACTTCAAATAATAAAGAAATATCGACATCCTTGATGAAGCGCTCTTCAAACTTTTTGGAAGCATGAAGTTAAAAACAAGTTAAAGGGGTAGAGACAGATATTGTATATAAATTACATACACAAAAACTAATGGAAAACTAAAAAGACCTCTTCCTCAAATCAATGCATATTCATATTTACGCTCTGCGATGTTACTGTGAAAGTAACAGGTGTAAAATTAACATACAGGTGAACAGCCTATAGCACAAACATGCAAACACACAAGCTTTGTCCGCAACAAAGACTGATGCAAGACACTGATGATCCCTGCAAAGAGTTGTTGAGGAGGAAGACGAATATTACTATTTCTGTCAGAGGACCATCTGTACTAATAGCTAAACCCATAACAATAATAACAACAATAATAATAATAACAATAATAATAATTAATATATATTATTGATTTCATGAATATATAGATATCAAAAAAATTATTTGAATATTGTTTACATGTAACATTTATATGCAGACAATTATAGATTAATTTGTGTATTCCCTTTCATATCTTAGTCTGCTTGTAACTGACATCTAATTAACAGTATCAACAAAACGAAAATTAAAAGAATAATCTCTGTATATATAAATTAAGAGTATTTAACTTAAGACAGATTTCCAATTGTTTAAACTGATGAACCCGAAGCTCAAAGGATCATTCGGTGAGTCCTGACGTCGACAGGATTGAATTGAAATGAGCTGATACTGTACTATAAAATTACAACTGTTAACTATTTGCTCGTATTTCAACTACTCAAAATGGTGACACTCGTGATGATTCATTTTTGTGGAGGAATTCCAGTGCATCCACAGCTATTTATGATAGACTGCATCAATCAGACTACATTAATATTCAACAGTTTGATACGTGAAACTACAAAGATGATTCCTGCTTGTGTGTGTGTGTGACTGAGAGACAGTGAGACAGAGGCCTTGTGTAGTCCTAACTGACACTGCCAACAAAGGATGAGTGCACTGCAGAGAAAATAAAGTGACATATTGAATATTTGCAGCGCTGCGTATCATTGGTGCGTACAATAAATATCTGAATTGTTTCGTGTAGCAGACCGCACACGGTGTCACACAATTTTCTCTCACATGCACCTCAATGTGTTTTAGCACATTTTTATTAAACCTCGGGGTGATGTAAGTCAATCACTCCGCTCCCACATTTTTCCTTCGACACCCCTCCCTTCATCTCGCTGCTCTACTTTATGAAACAAACGCATCAAACACAGAGGCGGCCTGATGCAGCCTCACCGCTCGTTTACTCCGTGCCCAGCCTATTTTTCTATCTGTCCATCTATCTGTCCAGAGCGTTCTCATCTCTGCTCCGATCCTTTTTTCTGCTGTTTCCATCTCTCCCTCCTCCCTCCTCTTTTCCCTCCCACCCTTTTTTTCCTGTAACTAAACTGGCTGTGTCTCTCTCCATCTGCTGGTTCTTCCTTCAGCGGCCCTGCACCTGTTCACACCTCCTCTCCTGTTGGCCACCTCTTCTCTCCTCTCCCCCCCCCCTTTATCTCTCTCTTTCTCTCTCTC